ATTTCCCAAACCAGTAATCTCCTTTTAGTAGTTTGAATGAAATAAACAACCAACAGTCATTATTAACTTGTGTTGCATATTAATAAAATAAAATTTTTATTATTTAATAAAAACCACCACGCATATTCATTGACATTGTGCTACCAGATGGATTACAGGTACATTATATTAAGATGCCTGGCATAATGGAAACATAGGAAAGGAGTCCCGGGATACAGTTAAGCTTAGAATGTACCTTGAGGTGTTTGTATTTGATTTCATTCTCTTGACTTAAAATTGCTGCAAACTCAGTAAATCAATAATAAATATATCCATTGCCAAACTGATGGATTTGAAAAAGTGAGTTCCCACACTATAGTAACTGTGCTTCGAGAAGGTAGACGTCTGGTCAGAAGACAGGGAGAAATGTCATCCAATCATGCAGTAAAGGACAGTGATAAATGCTCCCTGACAGGGGGCTTCCACATTCCCAGGAGCATGGAAATATGTGAATAATTAATAAAGAATGCATAGTACAGAAAAGGTTTTATAATAAGGGGTCCGGTCTAGGGAGCGGTCTAGAGCACTAACTGTATGGCAGTGTGTGGGCAGGGGGGAAGGTTCGAGAGAAGTATACCGTCAGTTCAAGAAAACCCAAAACGTTATATGTGAAAGAAGAAGGTTCCTTTCTTCCCTCTGTCTTGATTAGATCAGGACTGGATGTACTGTGCGGTTTGGTTCCCTGGTTGGGTTTATACCAAACGAAGATAAAATTTTTACTGAGCTACTAACATTACTATCTTCAATATGATGCTTCCAGATCATAGAAGAAACTACAACTATGGGAGAACTGGTCTTGTCTTCAATAGCCATTTAGCTGCAAAACACTTAGCCCAGTGGTCAATTAAGGCGCTAATTCAACCAGAAAAATTCTTATGACTCCAATTCGTTGTATCTTTTTATAGCTCAAACATAAAGAATGTGAGAGTCTAAGCACTGTGCCCTTACATAGTGACAAATGACTATGATGCTGATAATAATAGGTCTTGCTCCAAGCACTAGGGACTTTGCTGATAATCCCATTTCTTAATGGGACCACAGTGAGGAAAAAGAACAAGGGATATATAAACACCGAGATCTCATGAATTGGCTAAAGGGAATGTTGCCAACTCTACACTGCCAGGCTATAATTCTTTTCCTTTTGAACTAGAATCCTCTTAATTTCCTTACTCCATTCATGGTGGAAATAGCTTATTAATTTCTTTTCCTAAACATTTAAAAACTGGGAAAAATGCTTACAATATAATCCTAAATGGAAAAGAAAAAGAATACTTATATAAGGCATAAATATACCAACTTTTTTACAGATCTAATATTATTTTTTTATAATAATCCTGAACTACTTTATAATTAATATCATATAATAAATATTTTACATATAATTGTTTATATCATTACATAATTTTGTGTAATAAAAAGATTCTAAAAGATATTATCAATTTTCCAAAATGGAAATTATAAAAAAAGTAATCATTTTAAAAGAAATAATTATTTAATTACAAACTTTATGTCTACTTTCAAAATATTTTGTGTTCCATGCTCTGCTTATAAATACAATAAATAGCTGGTACACATTTTTAGGTAAGAAATATTCAAAAAGTGCTCATCAAGGAAATTTATCCTATCCTCATCATATAATTTACTTTTAAATTGCTCATTTAAAAAATGTTTTCATGTTAAGTTTTCTGGTGAAATTTTTATATTTTATAGTAACTCAAATAAAAATAGATAAATGAAGGGGTAATTAACTCTTACATGTGAAATGTTTCTTTTTTTTCTTAAGATGCCACTTGAAAAGCATTTCATGACTATGACAAAGAGAAGAATGTCGGCATTAAAAATTCTTCTGAAGATTTCAAAATCTCTGGTCTATATATAATGCCCAGAATTTTCAGTAAATAGGCTATTTTTCTCATCAGTGTATTTTTATTCTAGCACTCATCCACTACCACTAAATCACCTACCAGCTCAGAAGAAGGGCAGATTTGAAGCATGAACTCATAGCTAGAAAGAAAGAACCCAAATCTGCATTTCTTCCCATACCCTGTCTTTTTGATCTGTCTTCTGAAGGTTAATTCTCTCCAAGAGTCCCTACCTTCCTGGATAAGAAGTCAATATACCTTCCTTGGTATTTATCTTTCAAGAGTCTACTTAACATTACCAGAAGCTTCAGGGGATGACATGTAAAGTCATACAGGAATCATATAGAAATGCAGAGAGTACCCAAGTAAGGCTGGATTACTTTTGTGATTTTGACATACAGAAGGGCACACATCAGTGGAGGTCTTAGGGTATGAAAGTTCTAAGAGCATCATGCCTATTGATTTACTTTTCCTAAAATCATTCAATAATAGTTTTGAATAACAAATGATAAGCTATCCATCTTGAAATTAAGGAAAATAAAGAGAGCTAGAAAATATACATGGAAAAATATACACATGATTAAAATAATAATTTAAAGGACAGTATACATTTTAATTTTAAAAAATAACATTGCCTTATTGAGTTCCAAAATTTTGATTCACTATCTTCAAACTGGGAATAAGGTATAACATTTGCAATTTATTCTCAATTACATGTTATTTTTAAATCTGGATGTACCTCAGAGGAAAAATATCTTCATTTTAATGTACTTACATATTTTCCTTCCAGTTGTGAACAAAAATACTGCAATGTGAATGAAAATACTGCAACCATATCAGTAAACAAAGAATGCTGAAACCAAGTCATCAGCGGCTGCCGCCACCCCCCAGTGGGGACGGGCCTGCAGCCCAGCCTCTGCAGCCACTCACAATGGGGCACTCTGAGCGGACTCAGAATAACAAAGGACAGGATACTGGCCCTAGATAGCTAGGTGCTTGTCAAAGGAATGAATTCAGTGAGCCCAAATGTTTGCTTCCTCCCATACAGAGAAAAGCACTAAATTCTTTAATTTAAGATGACTGGCTTTCTTTAGACAACAAGCAATCTTTTATTGTTCCAACTACCTGGTCTTTGCTGTAAAGCTCCTATATATCCTAGCTCCTCCCCTACCTCTTCGGAGCAGTCCCTCAGAGCGATCTGAGGGGCTGTCATCCCGGCTCGAGTCCTCCCACCAAATAAAGCATAATTCTCAACTTTTAGGCTGTGCATTTATTTCAGTCGACACAGTAAAGTTTCTCAAATAGATCTTAAGGTAAAACTAAACTATTAGAACTTGTCTCTCATCTCTTCTTATGCAAAGGAAAAAAAAATCCTCCTCATATTATTCCTTTAAAGAAGTAATGAGGATATAAGACATTTTAAAATTCTAGTGTATGATTTCTCTAAAAGAAAATAAAGGCCTTTTGTTTCCCTCTCCATTAGAAGATTGGTGCCTAGACAGTAACTGATTTCTTCAATCACTATGAAGACACTCAATTTGTATTATTAAATCTTTTAAGGAAAAAAAAACCCCACAAAATTTCCCTCTATTTTGCTTCAACATAGCTAGCAAAACATAAGTTGCTAAAGACATACTTTGAGGCCCCATGGAAGCAATTAATGAAAAATTACAATTATAATAGTAAAAGCTTTTAAACATCAGGGTAAAGGATTTTATGCTTATAAAGTTTCCATTTAGAATGACACTTGTTAAAAGCAAGTAGTTATGACCTAGGAAATGTAAATATTGCAAAAGTGCTGAGCTATTTCCTAAATTGTAACAGTAACCTGGTCTGTAGAAAATAGATTTAATGAGAATACATCAGGCAGTTATAATTTGATTAAATAGTATAGTATAAAACTACTTGGTCCTATAAGGTAGCCAGTAGCTACATTTGGCTATTGAGCACTTCAAATGTGACTTAGTCTGAATTAATATGTGTGGTGTCAAATACACACCAACTTTCAAAGACTTAATAGAAAAAAGAACATAAAATATCTCAGTCATAATTTTAATACTGATTGCCTGTTTAAATAATAGCATTTTTGATACAATGGGGTAAATAAAATAAATTAATAATGTTGAAATTTACCTTTTCGTGTACTTTTTTTTAACATAGCTATTAATTTTAAATTATATATGTGCATTGCATTAGATTTTCATTGGCAGCACTGGTATAAACAACTAAAGTTACATAAGAATGTAACCTTCTTTTACAATTCATGCATTAATCCAGTCTCTAGATTTAAACTAAGACTTGAAAACAAATGTGATTATTGGTTAATCTTGAGCCTTACACAGAGAAAGTAAGCTCAAGAGAGATTCTTATGTGACGTTAAGTCATTTATATGACATCAGGCATCAGAAACCAACACGATGAAGAGGAATCATATATTGGTAGTTAAGATCAGAAGGATAATTTTCAGGTTAATGTCTTTTCAGTCTCTAATTTACCCTATATATTATGAAGGAAAAACCGGGTTGGTCTGACAAGATAACTCATAAGTCTAGGAATGTGAAGGAGAGGC